GCTGAGGCTAAGACAAGGGAAGGGTTGTATCCTGTGCTGAGCTACTGGGTCAATACCCTTTTGTTTCTGGATTGTACTTTTTGAATGTAGAGCACTGCTGATACCTGTGAAAATAAAGAGTTTCTTATTTTTCCTTTCAGATTGCAGAAGCTCTGGAGGAGCTGTCTGTGGGTTTCTCAGAGGAGGAGTGGGCTCTGCTGGATCCCGGCCAAAGGGCTCTGCACACGGAAGTCACGGAGGAGACTTTGACCCATGTGGTATCTCTGGGTGAGCTTTCTTTGATTGTCCCTTCCTTTTACATGAAGTCACTTATCAGAGTAAAACTGAAAGTGTTATCAAGTGTTAAAACTCCAAGCACACCAGATGCAAAATAAAAAAAACCCAAAATGTTGAAGCTCCCAGAGGATGAGCCCGTATGTTTCACGGTCTGCTTTGCTGGTTGTTGTGGTTGTTGTATACAGTTAGGTTGCCTTGGAATTATGACAACCTGTTGAATGAGCATTCTCTAAAACATCGTGTCAACAGCTCTCCTCAGCTCTTGTAAACTCAAGCCTGTGGCTTCCTTCCAGGAGTCATTCCATCTTCTACTGGGTTTTCCTCTTTCCCTGCTATCTTCCAGTTTTCTCTTCAGCGCCCATGGTTTGGTGCTTTCGCTGCAGGGCCTTTTGGGACTGGCCCCTAGCTTGTGGCACCGAACAGCAAAGGCGTGACAGCACAGCGATCAAAGGGGTTGGTGGGTAACTAGGAGGCTCAACAGAATCTCTCATTCGCCCTCCCAATGAATCCTGTCTGGTCTCATCTCAACTCATCTTTGTAGAGATCAAAGGTCTTGGTGGTTCAAAGCCGAGATCCGCATTCTATGGAAAATGAAATATCTTTGCATCCTTTTGATCTTCCTTACAGGTATTGGAATGACGCCGGGAATGAACTTTTCCTCCCTTCTTCTTTTTGGCGGAATGGAAGCCACTTCAAGGCCATGTCGTGATCTGGTGGGAGCAAGTCGGCAGAGAGGCGTTCCATGTTTTCCTCCCTCAGAAACATTCCAGAGCTTGAAGGTATCCTGTCCTGTCTCCTTTTGCCCAATTCTGCCCATAAAACGTTGTTGAAAATACTGATGGTGAAAGGTTGAATTCGGAATCTAAGAATCAGAACCATGGATCACTTCATACTAAAGAAGAACAGTAGTATTTTTCTGCTTGGAGCTAAAACGTTTCCTCTTTTCTCAGGACGTCCTGATGCATTTTGAGGATATTGCTATCCATTTCACGGAGGAGGAGTGGGCTTTACTGGATGAAGGCAAAAGAGCTCTGCACCAAGAAGTTATGGAGGAAAATATAGCAACTCTGATCCCTCTGGGTAAGCCTTGTCTTTCCGCCCCGTTTGGTCCATAAAACCAATTTTACAGATGATATATATACAGTGGTGCCTCGCTTAGCGACGTCAGTCCGTTCCGGAAAAAATGTTGCTAAGCGATTTCATCACTAAGATATTAAAAAGCCCATAGAAATGCATTACAATGTGATTAATGCATTCCTATGGGCTTAAAAACTCACCTTAAAGTGAAAATCCTCCATAGTGCCGCCATTTTTGCTGCCTCTTAAGCGAGGAAAAACAGCGGGGGGCCATTTTGTTTTCCCGGTGGCCATTTGGAAACTGCCAATCAGCTGCCCGAAAATGGGGGCTTTGCGATGATCGCTTCCCCGCCATCATCGCAAAGCGAAATTTCCCCATAGGGACCATCGCAAAGCGATCGCTTTTGCGATGGCAAAAAGTCCATCGCTAAGCGATTTCGTCGCTCAACGGAGCGATCACTAAGCGAGGCACCACTGTATATTTAAAAAATGAATGCCATGTGCATAACAGTTTTCTCCCCCTCCGGTCTTCTGCATAAAGTTTACATTTGTTGAGGTTTATTCCCTTAATTGAACCTCTGAATTAGGGAAAGGTAAAGGTTCCCCTTGACATTTAATCCAGTC